AATACAAAGAAGAAATTTCTTACCCAATCCCATGATGGCAGTATTTCCTTCTGAACTGAAAAGTACTCTGGACAACTTTTTCCACAAGTTTAAATGGCTGATTTATCAGTGGTTGCACCAGAGGAGTGAAATGAACCACTCCCACATCTACCTTAATTGAAAGAAAAAAGAATTGATTTTGAATAATCTTAGGTGAAGAGAGAACAATAACCCTGAGGAAGTTTCTCACTATTGTACCAAATGCCTCTCAAAATGTATTTATTTTCTCAAAAGCACAAAAGATTCATGTGTTAAATTTTAATCTCTGCTAGACTTATAAAATGCTACATTAGCGCTCGAGATGATTCAAACAAACAAGAGCCCAGTACAGCTCTGCCACAAAGAAATTCTCTAGACAAATATTTAATAATTATCTTATTTCAAAATGGCATTTTAACATTTGTGAAAGTTGTCAGATAAGGATACCTAAGCTTTTGAATTAGCAAATAAAATAATAATAAGCAGCTACGGACATTAAGGGCTATGCCTCAAATCTAAAATATGGAGAAGGTTGGGAGTCTGGGAATCACTGCATTCTAAAATCCCAGGAAAGGACTCAATTACATCAATTTAAAGTTTAGGCATTAATGCTGGTTAATTAGCTGGACTGTGCTCAACAATTCAGAATGTGTGATCAAACATTTTTTCTGAGAGCAACCTTCATGGTCCTCAGAGGGCATAAACTACAGGATTCTTCAAAAGATCAGCAGAAAATGGTGTCACAGAAAGAATATTCAATGAGGAAAGTAAGATACTTCAGTTTTAATCTTGGGACCCCCACTTAGTAGTGCTGTGACCTTGGACAAGACACAACTTCTCTTAACCTCAGTTTTCTCACAAGTTAATGGTTGGGCTGGATGATCTTGAAGGAACATTATGTGACCAGGGTAGAGGTGGTATAAATAAGATAGATAAAACCCTATAAAATATATAGCATAAATATTGTCTACACAATTTATAGAAGTTGATTAAAAGTGATTATCCATTGACTTTATAACAACATTAAACCCAAATGTGTGACAAATTTGTCAGCACTAACACTTTTGGTTACAAATAGCTAGATCACACATAGTTACCATAGGTGAGTCATAAGCAGAAATTCTAAATATTCATCTTGAACTTGAATTAATATCTCTAATAGCTAGCACAGTGCCTTGCACATAGTGAGTACTTAATAAATACTTGCTGACTGACTGGTTTTCTAGTTCAGTGCACTCAGCCCTGTGATGCAACAGGCTCAGAGGAAGTAGTGTTCAGAACTAAACAGAAAACACACATTTCAAACTTCAAATCTTAGGTTAAGCCAGCTCATTTAATGACATTCATCAAGCTAACCAATGTATGTACGTATATATAAAGCACTTGTCATGGGCCTACCACTATACTAGGTCATCTAGAGTGGTATTTTACAAGCAGTATCCTAAAGAACCCTGGGTTTAAGTCAAGGGATTTTGCAAAGAAAATGTCATAAAGGTTTGCTCTGTATGTTCAATGAACACAATGTAACAGTCAATTCAGTGAGTTTTCAAAGACTGGATGAGATCACTGAGAGTTGACCTATTACTGATCAAGAATCAATCAATGAATACTCACAATAATTTGTGACAGTACAACTAATTGAAAAGAGGTCTGTCTCAGCAAGGCTCGTGCAACACAGTGTCTAGTCACACTCTTATTGTTTAATTACAAATAATTTTGGCTCATTAACCACTATAGGTAATTGGATAAAATCTTAAGTTAGAGTTGTTCATTGTTCAGTCATTTCAGTTGTGTCCAATTCTTCATAATCCCATTTTGGGTTTTCTTGGCAAAGACAATGGAATGGTTGCCATTTCCTTCTCCAGTTCATTTTACAGATGAAGAAACTGAGGCAAACAGGGTTAAGTGACTTGCCCAGGGTCACACAGCTAAGTAAGTATCTAAAGCTGGATTTGAATTCTGGTCTTCCTGACTCCAGGTCTGGCACCCTTATCCACTGTGCCACCTAACTACATGGGAAAGCGAAAGAATTAAGTACTAAGACTCCAATAACGAAACAAACATACATGAACCTAGCACCAAATTACAAAAGAATGTGGCACAACATCACAGCTATCACAAATCTAGGTTTACCGCTAGTTACCCTGAGGCAGAGTGTCTTAGATTATTACATTATTAAAAATAGCTTGCTTTGTTGTTCCAGCAAAATCATCAAATTATTTACAAATCATACAGTGAATTTTAAAATAATTAAATTTTAGGCAAAAATATGACCTGAAGTAATTTCATGTTCTCTTTTATTGGCTTAGATAATTAAGAAAAACATGAAAACATTAATACCTTTTAAGGTCAGCTATGGCATCCAGTGTATTTTACATGTAGGTGGCACTTGATTGTTGAATGCAATAATATTTGCAATTATAAAACAATTACTGATAGTAATAAGACCCATCTTACTGGATAATTTATAATGTAGTTATGGGCAGACTCAATCAGCGAGTATTTCTTAAGCAAGCTAAAATAAGTAAAAAAAAATTTTACCTTATGTTCTTTAATATCATTAATAGCATATTTTAAAAAAATGATTGAAACAGTTTATCTAAAGCATTTTGCCAAACTTTTGCTTAAAGTAAAGCACTGCATCACTGCAAAGCTGTTTGAGAACTACTCTGAGACACAAAAGAATTGTAAGGTAAACATGAGACATTATGTAATGAAGTGCTGAACTGCATTAGTGATATTTTCGCTGAAGTAAAATCCCTCCAATTTAACTAACTTACTACTGCCCAACTTGAATGAATGTTCTCTTCAAGTCAGACTCTTTTTACAGTCATTCCCCCTCCCACTCCCGTATACTCTATATTTATTACTTTGCCATTCTGTTCAGTTTGAGGGAAAGAAATAAACTAGTATCTTTTAATGAAAAATAAAGACTGGACTTTCAAACTCTTCCTCAGAAGGGATCCTTCTTATTCCAGGCCAGAAACAGAAAATATTAAGAAAAAATTGTTACAGTCCTTTCTGCCCAGCTGGTAGAGCTGCCTGTGCCCACGATTATGTACTACCATTAGGATATAGTTACCATGGTCACCTTCCACCACAGGACTCAACTTCTATGGCAGCGATTTTCCCTCAAATACTAAATGATATAATAAGCTTATCTATCCAGCTCTAGCATGTTTTCCCTTGCTCTCCAATTTGTGATCTTAAGGTGGAAGGGCATGCCCTTCTCTACTGCTGAATCCTATTTACACACACACACACACACACCCCCACACACACACACACACACCCACACCCACACCCACACACACACCCACACACACACCCTGTTTTAAAACAGTTATACTAGTGGCTTCCACATAGAAAGTTATCAGCACAGATGCTCCTAGGATCATCTTTCAATTAATGATTGCTGCAAAGAGGCAAATTGAGGCTTGAACTGAAGAAAACCTTTCTGATAATTAGGGCTGCCCCAAAGTGTAAGAAGGATATTACATTTTGCCTCCTTTGTGCCTAGGGAGGTGATGATTTCCCCAGGATGACCACTTGTAGGGCACGCTGGAAAGGGGATTCTTGCTTAGGAAGGATATCAGGTGGTCTGAATTGCCTCAAGAGTTATCTTCCATCACCAAGGTTCTGTGTTTCTGTGACTAATACAAAAATGACTCTTGCTAAGACTGTGAAATACACAAAATAAGTTAAAGCTCTGGATGATGGACACTCAACTTCAACATTTTCTATTTTGGGAAAGTGGCTAACCTGTAGCAGTCTGAAGTACAAGAAAACTGCTTACTATATGTGATAAAAGAGAAGAATCTTTTTACACCTACAAGTTTATGTAAGAGTGAAATTCTCATTCATTTCCATTAGTCTTTTAACCACCTAACTGCTATTAGTAACCATAAAGCTACCCAATATTACAAAAGCAAGCAAGTGTTTTCTGGTGTTGTACAATAGCTATAAATTTCAGTGTGAAAAACAGAGGCTAAAATAAAAAATTTAATGGAACTGTCAACTGTTACACTTTCTCAGGTGGGAATATGTACAAACTATTTTTCTTGCCTATCTCAGGACCCCAGTATGTGAGACAGTGTTTCGAGAAGAACCATGAGGTGATAAACAGACAAAAATAAAATCTCTATGTCCCTTAGGGTGAAACAAGCTAAAACCAGTGCTCTCTGCAAATACAGCATCATAGTTTCCTTTGGATAGTATTAACATTTCATAATAAGGGAAACGGAATCAAGAATGGCACGTAACATATGCATGTATTTGTCTACTATGACCTTCAGACAAACAAATAAACAGCCTACAATTTATGTCCTGGTTAGGCAAAACAAGTCTAGTTCTCCGGGATCTCTCCTTTAGGTATCAGAGTAGAATAAATGAAGCTCTAAATATTTTCTGTAGAATCTAGTTTACTAAGACTATACTGGAGAAAACATTTCCCATGTTGACTCAAGGGAAAAAAAAAATTAAACCATAGACATAATAATTCAAAGTAGTTAGGAAACACTGAAGGCACTTTTTTTCTGAGGGCTATTGACCAGATTTAGAGATCTGAATTTCCCAGAACCAAAATCACAAGGCACTTTTAGCAATAATCGGATCAAAAATGTCTACAGAATTCTCTTTATCTATTTGAAAGAAATTATGGACTCAATTTGAGCACTTGTATTAACTGCTTAGGAAAAAAAATCAGTAACAAATTATAAGTGTATAGTTAAAGCATAACATTAAAATCAAATCAACGTTGTAAGTTATCTAAATAGCCTCTGCTCAATGAATAGTGGCACAGAGGCATTTCAGATTTTCAGGTTCCAACAAATCATGTTATAACAGTAACTCCCTCCTTCCTCCCTGCCTCCCCTTTCCTAATTCTCCCACAGCTCAGAAAATGAGCTAGAGAACCCGGTATTTATCTTCCAGCATGATCAGCAGTTTTTACTTCTCAATTTGATATGCTATTCTTTATTTGCTACACAGTGAGCTAACTTGTTAGAGAGCTTTATCACCAATTCAAAACACTTTGGAAAATCGAGCTTTGTTCAGTTGACTTTCCTTCTTTGTTCCTAACGGGGCCCAGTTCCTCTGTGGAAGATTGATGAGAGTACAATCAAGGTCTCGAAGTATATCCACAACAGGTATGGGAAATTTACAAACCACTGACAATATGACAGATTTTGAATCATGTTTTAGAAGCCAGTTTTTAACTCACGTAAGAAACTGGGAGTTGAATTTAAATGAAGTCTATTTTCAACCTTCTCTTGGCAAAAATATCCTCATGTACATTTAAAATTCATAGGTTCTGTCATGTAAGCATTTTGTTGTAGGACCTCAAAGTAGCTCTCTATTCGAAACCAAAGGGATCTCTGGCTTTTGCTTACTAATACAGTATTTCTCCACACCACCACCACCATTAAAAACAAAGCATGTCTTTATTCTCTAGTTGACAGAAATTTAAAGGAAAAGGCTGTTGTACTGCCTAAGACAGAAAAAATGCTCATAAAATGTAACTAAAATGCTAGAGTGCTTTTTACATAAAGAATACTGAACTGCATATAAGAAGGAAAAGGTCTCTTCATCGAGTCTGTTTACATTGAGGAAAGTGCTTGAAACCTGGAATTCTACAAGTAAGTGCTATGCTAATCACATGCAATCAATAGGGTTTGATTACATTTGTAATATTAGTTTGGTCTGTACTGTTGATGCTGGTTTTCCTAGGCCTGTAATTTGTACAGCACGGACCAGTTAATTATGATGAACAATCCGTCTGAAAATGTAAGCATGCTGAGAAATTTTTAAAACTGAGTAATGCAAGAGACTATATCAAAACTTAGGCTACAATCTGGAAAGTGAGTATGGTCAGATCAACAGAAAAGAGTAAAGGGCTTTTAATCTAGTTCCTTAATCAAAGCTAAAAACTACCCTGTGAGGAAGAGATAACAGAAATGCCCTCTAGAAATTTCCATAAGAATTCCACAAAGGTATAAATGTGTAGTGAATGGAGTAGAGTTTGGAATGCTGAAAAGCAAATCATCAAAATCTAGTTCTTGAAAATATTCATCACAAATGAATTGTAAAGGGATTTAGTAATTTTTACCTACTTCCATTCAACTTTAGTTTCAGCTAGAAAAGGAGTATAGATAACACAAAAATGAGCCATGGCAGGGCAAACCCTAAACATAAACCTACTTAACTTTAGCTAAGTCTGGGTCTGAACATTAAAATCCTATAATTTGAGAAAAAAAAAAGCTTTCCTGAGCATTATAAATTATCAGACCTAGAGGGAGAGACATTAGTGATGGATGCTAGCCAAACTATCAGACTACAGCAGTGCAGCTTGGTTATTAATGGTTTCAGTTTATTGCAATCAGATGAGGAAAAAAACCCTACTACATAATCTATTCTAGACTACTTTCAAAGTCATTCTAAAATATCACATGGTCTGTACTTGTACTGGTATTTCCCAAAGGGATTTCAAGGATCCCTAGGGTCATCAAAAGTATATATGGCCAAGGTAGTTTCTCTTAGTACTAGAGTATTTGTGCTTTTCATAACGTCTATGCTTTTAAGATTAGTAAAAATTGCTTATGATGATTAATAAAAACAAGCCATCATCTGTTAAGTGAGTCATTCAAAGAGCCATTCATTGAATTATTAGTTTGTTTCCTATCTATGGTAGTAAAGTGTGGATCACATACGAGGAAAATGGTGGAATATTTACTCTTGAGAAGTGGCATATGGCTTTCTAGAAGCTTAAGAACCACTATCTGAAGTACACACAAGTAGAAAATACTACTAGGAAGCAGGCATAATTAGTGTAACAGGAGCAAAATGTACTATGAAGTCAGGATTAAGAAAATGCATTGTACAGTAGAAAAATCTGCAGGTCAAAAGATCAATGTTTTGCCATTCCCTAGATTTGTAATCTTGGGCAAATTACTTAAACTCTATTGGCCTCTGATTACTGCCTGGAAAATGGAGGAGCTGGATTAGATATTGAGTTCTTAAACTTTTTTTGTATCATGGACCATCTGATAGTCTGGTAAAACCCAAGGACCCCTCAGTATAATCTTTGCAAACGCATAAAATTATGCAATAAATGTGACAAAACACATAACATTAAAAAGGAACCCAATCAGAGTGAAATACAGTTGTCAAAATTAAACAACAACAACAGCTACACAAGTTCATGAGTCTCAGATTAAGAATTCCTGGGCTTAAAGATTTTGAAGGTTTCTTTTAGCCATAAGTGAAAGAAATAAAACAGGCCAAAAGTCAGCATAATCAATTATAAATGGAATTAAGTAAATAATTATAAATGGAATTAAGTACAGAACTACCAAAATTCTTTAAAATAGCTTTATTTGAGAAATGTAAAACTATACTATCTAAATGCCACCCAGTATCAGAGGAGCACAAAAATCACATTAGAGATTTCAATACAATATAGCAAAAATCTGAGATTAGAACTTATTAACTGATTTATATAGTGGTACTTCATAAATATGACTTGACTAAATGAAGGATTTTTTTTCTCTTTATAAATAAATCCTACAAATTTGGGTTTGATACTTTTGAGGTCTATTTGTATCCAATATAATGAGGTAGGTAATTCCATATTTTCTTTTTTTTAAAGCCAATTTTATTGATATTGTTTGTTTTTATATTACCAAAATTTCCCCTATGCATCAGTTCCCAGAGAGCCATTTCATATAACGATATTTTTTAAAAGAAAAGGAGGTAAAGGAAAAACCCCCCAGCAGAACTGATAAATACATCAAAAATACATACAATAATCCATACCCATTTAACTCCCACACTCCCACCTGCTACCTTTGCAAAGGAATGGAAGGAGGTGGCCTCTCATATCTTTTCTTTGGGGTCATGCTTATTCTTTGCAATTTTATAACATTCATTTTCTGTTTTTTTTTTGTGGTGGCTGCTCTTTTCATTTACATTACTGTAGTCAGTGTAACTTGTTTTCTTGACTCTGCTTACTTCACTTTTCATCAATATATATAATTCTATGCTGTTCATGTCATCATATTTGTTATTTTCTTACAACATGGTAATACTCCATTACATTCATGTAACATAATTAGTTTAATCATTCCCCAAACAATGGCCATCTATTTTGCTTCCAGATCTTTGCTACCACAAAAAGTGCTATAAAAAGTTTTGATGTTTAGGGGGACTTTTTTTTTTAATCATTGACCACTTTGGGTCTAGTAATAAAATCATGGCTCAAAATATACACAGGGCAGCTAGGTGGCGCAGGGGATAGAACGCCTATCCTGGATTCAGGAGGACCTGAGTTCAAATCTGACCTCAGACACATAACACTAGCTGTGTGACCCTGGGAAAGTCACTTAACCCCACTGCCTAGCCCCAAACCCCCCCAAAAAGAAAAAAAGAGTATATATATCTTAATCACTTCTCATAATTACAAATTCCTTTCCAAATGGTTATACTGATTCACAGCTATACCAACACTGCACTAGTGTCCCATAACCCCTTCAACACTTTTTTTCATCCGTCATTTTCCTTGCCAATTTGCTAGGTGTGAGGTAAAACTTCAGGGTTGTTTTGATTTACATCCCTTACTTTTCTTCTCATTTCCTCTGTTTCCTATCTCTTTTTTGAGAGTTTGTTTTGCTTCTGACTAATCATTCCCTTTATCTATCCTTCCTTTTATTACTTCTCCTTTCCCTTATCCACTTTTTCTCCTGTTTCTCCACTGGATTAAATATTTTTCTGGACCCAACTGTGTATGAATGTATATTCTACCCTCCTTCCAGCAGTTCAGATGACAGTGAGGTTCAGTTGCTGTCTACTCCTTGCCCTACCTTATCTCCTTCTCTTGCATAGATTTTTACTTCTGCAACCCAATTAGGTGAAATAACTGTCCCCAATCTTCACTCTTCACTCCAGTCCCACCAATATATCCTCCTTTTTCTCCCTTTTCATTCTTCTGTTAAGATCATCCAAGTATAACAGAACCTTTCCTAGACCATTTAATACTTTTTCTGTGACCCTTGAGGATGACAGAATTCTTCAGGGAGAATTATCTCCTCAGATAAGAATATAAACAGTTTATTCTTGTTTAGTCTCTTTAAGATTGCTCGCTTATGTTTACCTTTTTATGTTTCTCTTGAATTTGGTGTTTCTATGCAATTCTGGTCTTTTTACCAGGAATCCTTGGATGTCCTCTATTTCATTAAAGATTCATTTTTTCCTCCTCTAGGAGTATATTCTCCTTTGTTGCACAGGTTACTCTTGGCTATAAGCCCACATATTTTTACTGCTGGCATATAATATTCTAAGCTCTCTGATTCTTTATGATGGTGGCTGCTAAATCTTATATTATCCTGACTGTGGCTCTTTTGTATTTGAATACTTTCTTTGTGGCTGCTTAGAGTATTTTTTTTTTCTCTGACCTGTGAACTCTGAATTTGGAGCAATTATATTCCTGGGAGATTTCATTTTGTGGATTCTTGGAGAGGAGGTGACTAGTTGGTTCTTTCTATTCCCACTTTGTGGTTCCAAGAGACCCGGACAGGGTTGTTGGTTTTTTTATTTGTTTGTTTGGTTTTGGTTTCTTAAAATATGTTTAGGGGGCAGCTATGTGGTGCAGTGGATAGAACACCAGCCCTGGATTCAGGAGGACCTGAGTTCAAATCTGACCTCAGACACATAACACTAAGTGTGTGACCCTGGGCAAGTCACTTAGCCCCATTGCCTAACCAAAAAAAAAAAAGTTTAGGCTCCCCCCCCACGGCTTTCAGATAGTTCAATGATTCTTATATTATTTCTCTCTGATCTGTTTTACAGGTAATTTATTTTTGCTATGAGATACCTTGTATTTTCTTCTATTTTTAGTCTTTTGACTTGTTTTAGTATTTCCTGGTATCTCATGGAGTCATTAGCTTCTATTTGGTTAATTTTAATTTTAAGAAAGTTGCTTTCTTTGCTAACATGTTGTACCTTTTAACCAAACAGTTAAATCTCTATATTTTTCTTCCATAATACTCATTTCTTTTCTAATGCTATACTCTATTGCTCTCATTTGGTTTTAAAATAATTTTTCATTCTTTAAAAAACAAACCAAAAGGGGCAGCTAGATGACATGGTGGATAGAGCACCAGCCCTAGAGTTAGGAGGACCTGAGTTCAAAACTGGCCTCAGACACTCACTAACCAGCTATGTGACCCTGGGCAAGTCACTTAACCCCCACTGCCCCCCAAATAAAAAAAATTACCCCCCCAAAACCAAAAACAACAACAACAACAACAACAAAATCTCTTCCAGGAATTCTTATTAGGCTTATGCCCAAACTGCGTTTTTATTTGAGGCTTTGCTTGTGTTCTATAGTCATTTTCTTCTAAATCTGTGTTTTGAGCTACACTGTCACCAAAATATCTCTTTAAGGCGAGATTCTGTTTTTGTTTGCTCATTCTTCCAGCCTACTTTCTGACTCTGAACTTTATGTTAGGGATGAGTTCTTCACACTTCTAAGAGGATTACTTGAACTAAGGTTTTGTCTTCTTAGATGCTTCTGCTGCCTTTTGCTAATATTGAACATCATTATCCCAAGATCTCAAGGACAGCTCAGGCCAGGAACAGGCAAAGTGCTATGATCTATGGATCCATGGAGAAGCATGCTCACTACCCTCCTGCTCTAAGCTCTGCAAGTTTCTGACCTAGGTTTGTGTCTGAGAAAGGTACCTTGTCTTGTCCCTGATTGGTCATACTAGCAGACTGTTGCTTGGACTCAGGCACTATCAGACAGCTATAAAGCTCTGAAGGTTCAGAGAGACTGAACTGTGGCCTTCCCTTTGGTCTGGGATTCCAATCCTGGTTATTCCACTTCAGGCTTCAGCCTGAGCTGAAAGCTAGAACTGAGTTCCCGCTCTTCTCCTGGGGTTATTGCCACACCATTTGATTATGAACTCATTCCTTACTCAGTACAAAGTTAGGGCTTATGACTAAGACCACGTACTCCTCTCTGCCACCCTTAGGCACAAGTCCCCTTATTAGCTCCCCTCTATTTGTGACTTAGAACTGAGTAATGAGCAACAGAGCTGCCAAGGGGCACTTGTTTTCTAACCTTGCACTAGTTTAGTACCCCTCTGTTACCTTTTGCTGCCCCAGAACACAACCTGGGGCTTCTTTCAGTCTCTGGGTACTAAAATGCTCTATTCAGCAGCTCTTGGCTAGACCTCCACTCTAATGTCCACAGATCTCTCTGTCTCCCTTTGCTGATCTGGGCTAGAAAAATGACTCATGGTTATTTTTTATTAAATTTCCCAATTAGGATTCAGTCTGGTGCATCTTCTAGAATTTTATGAAAGTGTGGTAGGGGAGCCAGTCTGTACTTCTGTTATTTTGCCATCTTGACTCCCCCAAAAAATCTATTTTAGAAACTTATTTTATTATAGTATAGAGAATAATACTTAAGATAGCAGTGTATATAGATCTCATGCCCATAAATGTTAGTTATGAAATATATGTTATGAATATAAGTAAACAACAGTGGCTTAACTACTTCAGGAGACTTGAGCAGATGTAGTTTAAATGAATAAAGAACTGTGATTTAGAAAAGGGTATCCCATATAAAATAAATTTTATTGATAGTTTTTATTTTTACATGACCTAGATTTCCCAATACAGCCTTCTCCTTCCCAGAGAGCTATTCTTTATAGATAAGAATAAAAAAGGGGAGAAAAACAGTTCAACAAAATGAACCTATACATTGAAAAAACTGACATGGTCTGTAGTGTACCACACCCATAATCTTACACCTTTGCAAAAGGCAGTAGAGAAGAGCCTCATTATATCTCTTCTTTGGGGTCAAACTGGCAATATACTTTCATAACATTCATTTCTTTGTTTTGTGGTTGTTCTTTCCATTTATATTCTTGTAACAATTGTGTACGTTGCTTTCCTGGCTCTGGTTACTTCACTTTGAATCAGTTCATGTAAGTTTTTCCATGCTTCTCTGAATTTATCAATGTCCTTGTTCTTTATAGAACAATAACACTCCATTACATTCACATCCTCTAACTTGTCTAGCCATTGCCTAATCACTGGGCATCTACTTAGTTTCCAATTCTTGGCTACTGCAAAGAGTGCTTCTATACATATTTTGGTGCAGATGAGGCCCATCTTTTCATCACTGACCTCTATGGGTTAAATGCCTAGTAGTGGAATCTCTGTGACAAAAGGTACAGACATTTTAGTCACTTTGTTCTCCTAATTCCATGGTGCATTCTAAAATGGATCAATTCATAGCTCTACCAATAGTGCATTTTTGTGTTTGTCTTTTTCATACTCCCTCCAATATTGGGTACTCCCTCTTTTGTCATCTTTGCCAGTTTGCTAGATATGAGACAGGAACAATTTGGAGAAAGTTTGAAGTAACTCACTGGGAGGCAACCTGGGGTAGTGGATGATAAACTAATCTTAATAGTCAGAATGACCCTGGATCAGGGCCAACCTCTGACAGAAAACAGACATGAGTCTGCTTATGTCACTTAACTTCTCAGTGATCTGGGCAACTTGAAGATTCTTAGCTGCAGAGAAGATGCTGACAGAGGGAGTTTCCTCACTTTGGAGTTCCCTGTACCAATGAAATCACAGTTCTAGCACCCATCCCTTTCCATAAATTAACCCAACCTTCTTTCTCAGTCCCTAATACCTTATCTATAATACCTAACAAAAGGATATAGTTCATTTAACTTGCCTATATAAATGCTAGAACTGTTCATTATTTGTAATGTTAGAAGACTGTCTTTGGGCAGAATCTTTTTACACAGCTGAAAAAACTGACAGACAGCTCCCATAATTAAAAGACAAACATCCACGAGAGTAAATTCAGTTCTTTGATCTAAATGTGATTGTGGCCAAAGATGTTTCAATTTTCTAACAGAATATACATTTTTCCTCTGAGCATAATGGACATATCTTGGGCTTGAAGAAAAGCAAAGGAGGCAGTACTTCCCTGAAGTCCATACCTTGCATACTCCTTCATGTAAGCATGAAAAGGAAGCATCTGAGAGCTACATAATCTCCCTTCTCAGCTCTTTTACAGACAGCTCATTCATTCACTGCAGGGTCACATTCAGATGTGCCTTCAGATAAGCTCCAACTATAAATGTGAGCTTTTTTATTCACTCATTCCTCCTTTCTTTCCATTTCCCTGATTTCCATTACTTATCTCGTCTATTTTCCCCCCTATTGTAGAGTCAGTTACAGTCTTCATTGGAACGGCTACAGTTTATTGGATAGTATCCACCAGAGAGGACTGGGCAGACAAAAGGCGACAGACAGATCAACATTATGGCATCAGCAGGTCTACAGCTCCTTGCTTTTATTCTAGCCTTATCTGGAATTTGTGGCATAATCACAGCCACACTATTGCCAAACTGGAAGGTAAATGCAAACGTGGGATCAAATATCATAACAGCTATTATTCAACTTCAAGGGCTGTGGATGGATTGCACATGGTACAGCACCGGGATGTTCAGCTGCACGCTGAAACACTCGATCCTAGCCCTCCCTGTCCATGTGCAAGCTGCACGGACCACCATGGTACTGGCTTGCATCCTCTCAGCTTTGGGGATTTGCATTTCCACAGTGGGCATGAAATGTACACGTTTAGGAGGGGACAGAGAAACCAAAAGCCGTACTACTTTTGCTGGAGGAGTATGTTTTATTCTCTCAGGTGTATCTGGCTTAATACCCACATCATGGTACATGAAAGAGATCATTTCAAATTTCTGGGACCCAACAATCCCAGAGCACAATAAACATGAACCTGGAGGAGCTATCTACCTTGGATTTATTTCAACAGTACTACTATTTCTTGCAGGTGTGATTTTCTGCACTTCTTGTTTAAAAAGGCATCAAGAAACTAGGCACCATCCTCCCAAGCAGCAGGGTAGCTTAAGCACTCAGCCAGAGAACAATGCAGGCTATAACCTGAAGGATTATGTATAAAGAATTGTGTGCTATATATGGCGAATGAAATGCCAGGAATGTTTATTTTTTTTTACTTTAGATTAAAAACAAATCACAATCATACTCAATTGTCTTCATTAGATGCTATAGTGCATTACTATTAACAAGGTATTTTATATTGCAAGATTTTTTTTAACTGCTGGTTACTTTCACATTTAACACTCAAGGTTTATTTGAAAAAGCATTATAAGGCAATTGGTGGCTAACTGATGTTATAGCTTACTTGTTGAAGTTTAAGTTGGAACTATATGCCAAAATGTATGCTTCTGATGTTTCATTTTGAGTATTCAACAGGACTAAAATTTGGACTAAAGCTCTGTGTCCTGCTTTTAACCAGAAGTAACATCTGTTTTTGCTTTCCAATTCTCTAACACCATGGTAACTCGGTTCTTTTTTTTTAAGCCACAACATATAATTGCATGTCAGGAGCTGAAGAGCTGTCATTGCCATTCAGATATTGCCAAAAATGTCCCTCCCAAGTCCCCACCTGCTGTTCAGTATCTCTGGCCCTCTTTCTCTTTTGCATTTCAAGGGAAATGTTTACATAAGTTTCCAACTGTTTTTAATCTTTCAGCCAAACAGTTTAGGCTCCATCTAAGAGGGAACAAATTGGTAAATGTCATTAGGAAAAAGAAAATACTTAGGACCTTTAACCTACTGAATATAAGCTATATGATACTAATAAATGGGAAAAAATAACATGACTATCCTTCATACGTGTGAGCTCTTTGGGAATTATTCTTTCATTTATTTCCAATCATTTAGATTTTCTACCTCCTTCATGTAATCTTAGGTAAACTGTCATCTACGTATGACAAATGCTTATTTTCAAATTCTTTGCCCCTTTATTTCCAGGCCTGATTTAAGTATACAAGGTCACTATTTTCTTTTAAATGGATAAACTACTTCTAACTAAAGTGAAGGTGTTTTGAATAAAAGAAAGCATCATATGACTATTTTGTTTTGGTCCAAATCTATAATGGTGTAGGGAACTCCTGATAAGACTCCGTCTGTCAAAGCTAATTACCAGCTGCTGTGCAACTTATAAAAATCTCTCAAAAGATTGGCATGAAGGCACTGCCAGGTTAAGTGATGTATCTGTGGTTGTACTGCCAGAATGCATCACAGGCTGGCCTTGACTCCCAGTCCTCCTATCACTGCGATGCTTTTGTCTCTGATGAATCTAAGGTTACCAAATATAAAACTTTAATCTGGAAGAGAAAAAAATCTGATTTGCATATGTCTGTTTCGGTAGAAAGGAAACAGGACAACCTTGATTTGGGAGTATTCAATAAAGCTGATATATTTAAGTCAATTTTATAGTCCAGTAATATAACTTTCCAATTATTTTAAAGTGCTACAGAAATATTTGTTGCTGTTACTCATTAATGTATATTCATTAGTTTATAACATAAGATGATAAATTACATCTTATGTATAGTAATATGTAATAGAGTAATGTCATTGGAAATAGTAACTTATATGTTGATAATAAAAAATAGGATTTTTATTTTATCACATAGGGGAAACAAAATAATTTTCAAAACTATTTTACTGTGCATATTAAAGAATATCATCATCAGCATAGTGAAATTTTAAAGAAAATAACTAAAGTGAAGAAAAATTATTTCACACAAAAAAATCACAGATGGTCCTATAGCTGTTTAAAATGTTTTGTTTAATTGTTCATGGTTGTCATTTTCTAAATGAGCAAATGAATCTAAAGAAATGCTGTCTGACAAAAAACCTTTAATATGATACTTTACATTTTAACTGGAGTAATTTTGCTTTGATATCCATGACGTTCTCTTACTTTGTTTAAATGTGGTTGGATTTACATTGATCAATTCTCAAATGCACTAACAGAAAGGAAAAATGTTTTATATAATCAATCAAATTAGATTTGGAATATTCTTCAGTCTTCATTTTAACATATTCTCATATTTAGTATGGGCAGGTCTAATGTTTTAGAAATTCAATCAAGGAAGCAAGTATTTATTAAGAACTTATTCTGTACTAGGCAATTTGCTAAGTTCTGGGGTTACAAAGAAAAATTAAAAACTGTCTCTGCCCTCAAGGAGCTTTCATTCTAACTGGAAAGACAAGTAAATAGATAAATGTAAGATACATTTAAACTAGACACAAGGTAAATAGAAGGAAAGATACTGGCACCTTGGGGAACAAACATACCAATGATGAAACACTGTAAAGTCTGAACTCAAAATAAGGCAAGAACTGAAAATTTGTAAAACTCTGTCCTGTACCTGTTCTTTGTTAGGGGAAGAACATAATCACTCACACTGCAAAATACCAACCTAGGAAAAACTGACTTCTCTCTTTAATATGTAAATAAGTACAAAGGAAATTTAGGAGAACTCATTCATACAGAAGTACTTATTTGTTTTGATCTATTTAAATTAACTGTTACAATTTCTGGAACAGCTTTTGAATTTTATTCTTTCCTATGGACAGTAATAATTTGTATTTTAGCTTTAAAGGTTTTTCTTACAGCTTCTGCTGGGTTGCACACAGTGTGAAGGCATGAGTAAAACAAGATAATTCTAATTACAAATTAAGTAGTAAAGGGGCAGCTAGGTGATGTAGTGGATAGGGCACAGGCCCTGGAGTCAGGAGGACCCGAGTTCAACTCCGACACTTAATAGCTATGTGATCCTGGGCAATGCGATCCTGGGCTATGTAATCACTTAACCCAGACTGCCTCTCCCCCCTGCCCCAACTCCTGCAAGTAAGCAAAAAAGGTATTAATATTAGTGTAAAATTGAAAACAAGGTCTGCTAAGAATAAGTCAAAATAAATAACCACTTCAGATCAGGAGGATCTTACTATCATTACAAAGAGTGAAAATACTATCCACTGGAAGTATGTGTTTCTTTATTTTCACAGGGAACCAAAAGTTAAGCTTTAAGGAAGAACACTCTTCGTACATAGGCTTACAGGTTTATAGCTGGACAAGGGACCTTAAAGTTCATTCTAATAAATAAAACTGCTGCTCAGGGTGGTGAATAGAATGATGCTAACTTACAACAGTGAGAGGACAAAATTCCTCAATTCTTTTTTGTTTCCATTTTTCTTTGCTTTTGGATTGAAAAACAGAACAATGATAGCTAATAGGGAACTGATACCCAATATGAATAAGGTGATATTAAGAGAACATTCAGTTGCCCTAAATAAAATCAAGATACCTGGCCATCAGGAATTATATATTCAGGAACTGAAAGAATAGGCAGATGTGACTGCCACTGACAAAAATATCTGAAAGACGGTGGAGAATGAAATATATACACATGACTGGAGATGGGCAAATGTTCTCAGTTTTCAAAAAGGGAAGAGAAGAGAGTCTGCAAACAGTAAGCTTAAATTTGATTCCTGGTAAAATCCTAGATTATTATTAAAAAAAGATGTAGTGAACATGAAAGCAATGATTACAAACAGCAGCACTGTTTCATTAAGAATAGGTCTAGAGGCAGCTAGGTGGTGCAGTGGATAGAGCACCAGCCCTGGAGTCAGGAGACCTGAGTTCAAAATCAGCCTCAGACACACAACACTTACTAGCTGTGTATCCCTGGGCAAGTCACTTAACCCCACTGCTTAGCCAAAAAAAAAAGGAAAAGGAAAAGAAAAAGAATAGGTCTAGTCAAACTAGCTTTGTTTCCTTTTTAAAAACAGTGTTACTAAACTGGTAAAGGAAATGTTGTAGATAATTTATCTAAATTTTCATGAACCATCTGATAGTCTCTCATGCTATTCTGGTAGAAAAGATGTACAAATGCAGGCTAGATGATAGTATAATTAGATGGATTCAGAACAGGCAAATGACTGGATATAAAGAACAGACATCAATAGTTAAGATTCCAACTTGAAAAGAGGTCTCCAATGGAATGCTTGGCATTGTGATGTTTTTCATTCTTAACAATGACTTGAATAATAGCATAGATGGCACATTTATTAAATTTATATACAGCAAGTTAACACTCTGGATACCAGTATCAAAATCCAAGACAGGCTAGGACACTGGGCTGAAAGTAACAAAATGAAATTTAATAGGGACAGATATAATGTTTTACACTTGTGTTCAAAGAAAATGACTTTATAAGTATAAGATGAGAGAGGTATGCTTAGATACTTACATACCTGAAAAAAATAATCTAAGGATTTTAGTGGCCCACAGGCTTAATGAGTCAACAGTGTAATATGGCATCCAAAAACATTTAACGTAATTTTGGACTGCATTTACAGAGGTATTGTTGTTGCTGTTCAGCTGTTTTCAGTCGTGTCCTATTCTTCATGATCCCATTTAGGATTTTTTTTTTGGCTAGGCAATGGGGTTAAGTGACTTCCCCAAGGTCACACAGCTAGTAAGTGTTATGTGTCTGAGGCCAGATTTGAACTCAGGTCCTCCTGAATCCAGGACTGGTACTCTATCCACTGTGCCACCTAGCTGCCCCAATTTGGGATTTTCTTGGCAAAGATACTGAAAAGGTTTGTCATTTCCCTCTCCAGCTCATTTTACAGATGGGGAAACTGAGGCAAATGAGGTTGAGTGACTTGCCCAGGGTCACACAGCTGGTAAGCATCTGAGACCAGATTTGAACTCAAGAAGTTGAATCTTCCTGACTCCAGACCCAGCACTTTACCCATGTGCCACCCGGGTGTTCACCTTACTAAGGTGTTAAGAAAGAGTTCCATTACACTCTGTCACGGTCAAAAGACATGTCAGGTATTGTGTTCATTTCAGGGTACCATAGTTAAGGATGGGTACTGATAAGCCAAAGAGCATTTATAGGAGGGCAACCAGGATGGTGAAAAGCTTTGAGCCCATATCAAATGAAAATCCTGAGAACAACACAATAGTTATTTCAAGGGATATTATATAAAATAAGGAATAAAGTTACTCTGTTTGGCCCCAGAAGGAAGTACTGTAAACAAAGGATGGAGTTTGTACAAAGGTAATTTTAGGCTCAATGTTAGGAAAAGCTTCCTAACAATTAGGGCCTTCCAAAAGTGGAATGAGCTGCCTCAGGAGGTAATGGGCTCTGCCTTGTCAGAAGTCTTCAGACAGAAGGCTGGATGATCACTTGCTGGGTATGCTGCAGTGGATAATTCTTTTTTTGGGAACTGTTGACTAAGTGTATCCTAAGGTCCCTTCCAACTCTAAAATTCTGTGATTCCTAATTTTTAAACATGCAGGAGTTATTAAAGCTGCTTCACCCACTGACATATTTTACATAAGCAAAAATTAAAATGTAATCTTTTAAATTATCCATAAGTACTCTCAACAGATTGCTTAAATGAAGAGTACTAACCTGTTCTGTAATTATATTTAATTAAGGATCTGTATTAATATTCTACAGAAAACAAAAAGAGAAAGGGTAACTTTATAAGTAACTACAGGAATCTTAACCATAAGAAAATGGTAAAAAAGGCTTTTAAATAGGATTGATGTTATTTGTTTAAGACATGAACACTTTATATTTGTCAAAACTTTAAAATGTTTTACTAAAAGCAAATTTAATATTCTCAATAGGTAAACTATGACTTAGATAACGAACTTTATAGGCTCCTCCATTATCTATATTTCAACTGTATCATTAAATAGCACTCTATACACATAACATATGTACATATATCTTAAGGAACTTAAAATCTTGATGAGTAGAGAAGATATTAATACACAAATAAAATGTTTAAATAGAAACACAAAGAAGAATATGGCTACAGGTGTGCCTGTAAAAGAGGAAAGCAATTACCAATTGAAACACATGTAATATATAACTACATGTAAAAACATGCATTTTAAATCAATTGAACTGAAGAAGTCTTTATTAAGTACTATTATGTAGCATTTAGCAAAGTGCCTGCCAAAAAGCAGGGATTTAATAAATGCTTACTTGCTATGTATGAGGCACTTAGTTTATGAAGAAATAATGAAATAGCCATCAATGTGATTAAAAAAAGAAAATATATAATTGCTTCCCAAAAGACATTTTTTCAAGATTACAATTTATCTCCCAAGAGATGAAATGTAAAATTAACTATGGGACTGATAAAATTCAATTTAATAACAAGTCTGACATTTTCTGAATACCTCCAAAAATTCTGAACTGAGGCATTTTATTCTGACACCTATCCTAAGGAATTCTTGGCCAAATTTAAATATTAACATAGACTTTGGCTAATATAATTTACTACAACAATAAACTAGTTATGTGTGCTATTGAAAATAGCATACAATAAAATTAACACTATGCCTTATCTGAATAAAACTAAAATTCAGTACACAGTAGCAATAGCTTCCTCTGATGATAATGACCCCCCCCCCCAAAATGA